CTATAATATATCCTAGAAAGATAAACCGTCTTCGCTCAGAATCGTTTTTCGTATACAATGATATAATCTCATTGGATTCAAATTTAATTCCATCCATTACAGTAACCCACTTGTAACCTACTGTACAGCAGAGCGACATACACGACTTAACCGTCTTTTTTATATTAGTACTTTATATATTATAATTTATTCACTAATCCATTTATTATATAAATATACAAGTAATCATTCAATAACAAAAAAATATGTTTGTAGCTCTATTGGCTGACGAATGTTATGAATATAACCATTATTAATAGCTTACATTTAATTTGTAACTAAATATCTAATTTTAGCGTGATCACTGATTTGTAATTGGTTATATTATATTATGTAAATTCATTATAATATAATAATATACTATTTTAAACTAATATTTTTTTTCAAAAAAAAAAAACAAAAATACTTGTGTTTTCTACTTTTCCATAATATTTGTCAGATGTCGAAAATAAGGTGTGTGATTTACTTATACTCTTGGGAATCCACTTTGATATAGTTCTCTATTTCCTCAACTTATTGAATTTATCTCTGTAATCTATTTAAATTTTCTAGGAATAACATTTTTTACTCTGYATTTGGTATATAATGCAACACCAYTGTAGTTCTGTTTCGTTTGTATCAAATTTTCCAATAACATTATTTTTAAACCCTTAGTACTCGTATACTGTAAATATGATTGTTACATAGATATAGGTACCAACAATTTTACTCGTAGTTTTATAGCAAGGTTAAAAATTAACTTGGAATTGACATTCAGTATGAACAGTATGTAAATTGGTAACACGATTATTGAGATTATTTTTATATATTAAAATATTTATATTATATCATTTAATTTATAAGATTCGAAAAAACTTACAATACTTATAAGTATATGACATTGTGTTTTTTGATTATAATACATTATATRATGCTATAGATAAGTATAGAATATACTATATCCACCTAACCTGTTCGTTTTGTTAAAACATTCTAATTTAAATATTATACTCAACTAAGTATAATACGGATATAATAAATATATATATTTAGATTGATCATGGTCATATATTTATACTATGGGTTTATGACCTCGAGCGATAATTCTCCACTGACAAGCTTAATGAATATGTATATTATTATTAAGCAAGAACAGAATAATTATCAACTTTAAACGTGTAACCTTTTTACTACCTATTAAAATTATCGTTTTATATTTTCGTATTCCAATAGGTATAGTAATAAAAACAGAAATACGGTTGATTTAACACGCTTAAGCCACCGCAAGTATATTTTCTTCGAGTCAAAATCTTTAAGCCATGACGACAGAAACATTAGTAAATAGCAATAATTCTGTCGGGCGCACGTCGATTTGGCGTATCACAACGGATTTACAATATAATGTTTAGACCGCGATGCATATAATCGGAAATCGGAAATCCATTATACAATTCGTGGCCGTGGAAGAGTTAATGTTTAAAAAAAATATTATTATGTTTAATACAACGAGGCTAGCAGCCTAAGACAAAAAAATATTACCGCATTGTATTGAAACATGACAAATYGCCAAATCGTCTGGTCAGGCATTCGTATGGTTCTAGCTACGTTTCGACATTTTCTGTAACAGTACGTGATCTTCGCTCTTTGTTGTAGTTATCAAGTGATCTTCAAATATTTCTGGACGGTACTTACACACCACCACTGCAGTCGATTGCAATCATTTAAGTAATT